ATGAATTTTGGTTTTCTTCATTCTTCTTTGCTCTGGATGAGGAGAGACCCATTGTTGCCTCTAGATGGCAGCTTGCTAGCTTTTAAGATCCCAGTATCTATTAGCCAAAGTAGGAGGTGGAACAATGTTTTATATAGTATGTTATGCCAATTGAGCTTGATGTCCCCTGCAACTATGGTCCCTAGCCTCAATTTTTTTTTTTTTAAATGTTGTGTAATCTTAATTTTTCAAAAAACTTTTGAAGGCATAGAATATGCCCTAATAAGCATAAAAAAACTAGCCTATATTAGACACAATGTTTGAAATAATATTAAATATGTTAAAAATAATAATGTTAGTTTAAATTTTTCATACTTATTTATATGGTAACATTTAAGTAAAGTTTACCTGATTTTAATTCCCATATTCTAAGATGTTGTAAATGGTAATAAGATAATTTTATAACATTTGCTAGAAGAATTAATCCAAAATAGACAAAACAATGCATAATAAAATTGTATTTTAAATCTGAGTTTTGGTCAAATAAAACATAGAATTTCAATAAATTGGGCTTCGATGCATGGAAGTGTTCTTTTCTAAAGTCTTGAACCAAATGCCAGCTTCACTTTTCTGAGTTTAGCATGGATATGCAGAAACCCCCTGCAAAGAGGGAGTTTGGTGAAAAAGAAAAATTGGATATAAAAATGGAATATTAAAAGGATGTTGCCATTGATTAAAAGCTAGCAAGCTGCCATCTAGGTGCAACAATGGGTCTCTCCTTGTCCAGAGCAAAGAAGAATGAAGAAAACCAAAATTCATGGAAACAATTAAACCTAGCGACTGGTACACCATCTGATCCACAGCCTATATGACTATGAGACCAGAAGAACAGTGGTGCCCGGCTACCACTGACATCCACTTAGAAGGGGGGGATCTATGTAGCAGATCCATGATAGAGAGTGAGAACAATGTGGAACAAAATTCAAAATCATTTGGAGAAAAAAAAGGGGGAAGGACCAGGTTTGCTGGTCCAATAGAGGCTGGTGGAACCTCTGAGACTATGGCCCCTAGCTGCCCTTCAGATCTGGAATTGAACCCACACCTGTGGTTTCCAGCCAAACAGAAGACAGGCATATGAACATTTACCTAAGGTAGATACACTCTTTGGAGAGAACAATCATTGAGAAAGAAGGGCTGCTTATGCACAGGGAGAGAGCTTAGGGGGCAGGAGTCCATGGAGGGATGGACACTGGGAAGAGGTAACTATGGGGAGGAAGTGGGAGGGGAGCTTTTGCATTGTGGTAAACTGTGGTCAATGTCATGAGACAAAGTATATGTAAACTGCTGTATGGAAAGTGAATTTGCTCTGTAAATCGTCATCCAAATCACAATTTTAAAAAAAGGATGTTGCCATTGAAACAAATAAATCTTTTTCCAGAGGTCTTGTTATAGGGAATTAAATAGATCAACTTTAATGAACTAGAATTTTCTAGATATTAACTAGTAATAATTTCTCTTCTAGCTAAGAGCTTTTATTTGTTTTAAAATATACAGCACTAACAGTATTCTGAGCAGCATTCCAATATTTTATAAATATCATTTCATTTATTCTTCATAAAAGCCTTTATGAAAGGTATTATAAATAGCTACATTTACAGATTTGGAAAATTGCTTATAAAAGTGAATTACTAGCTCCAGTTTACACCGCTAAAATAATCTGGAGCAGGAATTTGACTATGCACTTCTCTAGCATTCTTCTCCTACAAGATGACTGCATCTTCTATGGACCTCATATTTACAGATAGAGTTAGTAAAGGACATATACACAAAATTCAACTTCCACTACAATTCTTCATTATTAGAAATAAGTATAATCATTGCTATTGCTATTGCTATTGCTATTGCTATTGCTATGTGCCCTCGAGTCGGACCCGACTCATAGAGACCCCTCCTTGGGTTTCTGAGGCAGTATCACTATGGAAGTAGATTGCCCAATCTTCCTTCTGAGGAGTGGCTGGTGGGTTTGAACTGCCAGCCTTCTGGTTAGCAGTCAAGTGCCTTAGGCACCCACTATCAGTGCTCCCAGTATAATCATAAAAAATAACAAAGAAGTCAAGAGTACTTCTGATTGTTGATTTCTCAATTTCCTTTTTTTATTTGGCATTTGACAGTATTTTAATGAATAGCAATAAAATGTTCTCATTGCTACTAGTCAAAGCTTATCTAAACACTTTGATAAGCAAAATTTGTTTTGATATTATATTGATATGCTGAGTTCCTGAAAGGAGAAAATGGTCTCATGCTTAACTATTAGCTGAAAGATTGGTGGTTGGAACCCAACCACTGAAACCCTGGAAGACGGGCCTGGTAATCAAACTCAGAGGCTTGAAAATCCTATGGAGCAGTTCTACTCTGCATACATAGGGTCCAACATAATGAAAAATGTCATTGGCTTCCCAGCAATTCATGAATCCTTGTCTCTTACAGTGATTATTAAAGAACGAGCCAAAATATGTATTTGCATTGAATTGATACTCAAATTACATTTTATACACCTTGTGAAACTCCTATGTTCTTAGTATGAACCTATTAAGTTTGTTAGCTGCTTTGTATTTAAAAATAACATCAAATTTACAAATAAATCTTATTATCCCTGGTTTACAAATGTGAAAATCATTGCCAGAAGAAAAAAAATTCCATACTTATACAATGTACTAAGTCTTGTGGTCTAAGAGTAAAGCCCTTTATATTTCCGTTATACAATCATGGCCCTTTCTCACATGTTGTATTCTCCACAGTGAACTTATTTATGATGGCATGGAAGAATCAGACCTTCAAGTCTGACTTTATCCTTCTGGGAATCTTTGATCACAGCCCTACCCACACCACTCTCTTCTCTCTAGTCCTGGGCATCTTCGCAGTTGCCTTTGTGGGAAATACTACCATGGTTCTCATTATCTATCTGGACTCCAAGCTCCACACCCCCATGTACTTTCTCCTCAGTCAACTTTCTGTCATGGACCTCATGCTTATCTGCACCACAGTACCCAAGATGGCCCTCAACTACTTATCTGGCAGGAAATCCATTTCCATGGCAGGTTGTGGAACCCAAATATTTTTTTATGTGTCCCTTCTTGGAGCTGAATGTTTCCTTTTGGCTATCATGGCTTATGACCGCTATGTTGCCATTTGTCACCCATTAAGATACCCAATTCTCATGAGCCAGAAAATTTATTGTCTTACGACTGCCTCTTCCTGGATTCTTGGCTCTTTTGATGGTATAATTGAAGTTTCAGTGGCATTTTCTTTCTCATATTGTGGTCCTCGGGAAATACCCCACTTCTTCTGTGATGTCCCTGCTCTGCTGACACTCTCATGCACTGACACGTCAATATTTGAAAGGATGATATTCATTTGTTGTGTAATCATGCTTCTTTTTCCTGTAGCAGTCATTGTTGCTTCCTATACTCGTGTCCTTCTGACTGTCATTAGCATGGGATCTGGGGAAGGTCGTCGGAAGGCTTTCACTACCTGTTCCTCCCATATCATGGTAGTTGGAATGTACTATGGAGCAGCCATGTTCATATATATGCGGCCCACTTCTGATCGTTCGCCAACTCAGGACAAGATTGTGTCAGCATTCTACACCATTCTCACACCCATGCTGAACCCTGTCATCTACAGTCTCCGCAACAAAGAAGTAGCCAGAGCATTCATGAAGTTATTGGGGAAGGGAAACTCTGGAGAGTAAGGTGTCTAATTATCTTCATGATCTGCTTCTCTAGAAATTATTTGACTTATGCCTAAATTTATGTGTTCAACTATTATAATTATCATCCAATATTTACTCCTCTTTGTACTAAAAGATTAATAGACAATCCAAGATTTAAAAGCTAAAAACTGTTTGCACACTTTGAACTTATCCCTTTGTTATAATAATAATAAATAAATAAATAAAAATAGATGTTATTATATGATTACAATAAAAATGAACTGCATGAGATGTAGGAGAGAGTGGTATTTAGATAAGGATATATTGAGGTATATTGGTATTTTGAGTATGTGTATGCTGTGCACTGTCTTTTTCTTCAGTGCTATAGGATTGACAAGCTCTCACTTATGTTCTTACTTCACAGACATCAATTAAATATGTGGAATAATGAAATGTGAATCTGA